CAATTGTCTGCTATTCTTAGTATTATTTACGGCATTTTGTATCGAAACCAGCATTTACCGAGTAGGACAGACGCCTGAAGAAGGTCTGAGGATACGACGGTCGAAACGTTGTGTATAATACCTAAAATGAAGATGTTGGTCCGAACACAAAAGTTTATAATAAGGATAATGACATATATAAAAAAATTCCGACATAAATAATAACAATAATAATAATAACATTAATAAGAATAACAATAATAATAACAAAAAAAAATACATTATATAAAAAAGAATTAAGTGAAACAAATAAGAATATAAAGCAGAAATTAAAAATTGTGTATTTGGGCAGCAACCACTCTTTTATACATGTTTCATTAAAGAAGACTGACAAGGTACTGCGATTAAACGTTTTCTTTAAATTTTCTTATTCTCGTATATTAATAGCATGAACTATGAACACGGCCACAATGTGCTGACCGTGTTTGGAAAATAAAAAAAAATCTTATAACTCTAGATACAGACATAAAAAAAATCCTGGGATAATGGCTAAAATAATAGCCGAAAGCGTTCGGCTATGCAGAACATTTGCAAAAAAGATTTACACACTTCGGGCGGGTTCGTTACGTTCAGTTTTCGCATAAATACTCTTAGGAAAGGCATGAATCCATCTTTTCTCTCTTAAATAGTCCCGAGAGGGACTAATAAGGCTGTCTTTCTTTAAGGTACTAACTAATCTAGGAAAAGGAAAACATCGAATTCAAAACCAGCCTGAAAAGAGATGGGGTCTCCCTCATGCTATCTTACGCTAAACACACCACTACTACTAAGGTTAGAGTACATGTAGTGTCCCCATGACACTGATATGTCCCCATGACACTGATATGTCCCCAGGACACTTGACGTGACGATGTTGGTCCTATTTATATGCTTACCTTTCTGAATTCAAAACCAGTCTGAAAAGAGGTGGTGTCTCCCTCATGCTATCTTACACTAAACGTACTACTACTACTACTACAGTTGCAGTACATTTGGTGTCCCTATGACACTAATGGGTATCAGGTCTCTTGACGTGACGAGGTTTAATAAACGTCCATCTAATATCAGCCTCTTTGTGTATCTATCAATGTGATGAGGAGGAAAATCAGACAGGAACGTGAAATGATCGAAACCATTGAAAGAGTTCAGATGTCCAAATGGTTTGCAATGAACATACATCCATTTGTGCGTCGGATTGCACGTCTGTGTGCATGTGCGTTTCTTTCTGCACATACAGATACATAAATTCGTTTATATTAAATCTTTATATTTATATGCAACGCTGAGAACTGAGAGAAAACTGTCAGTCAGTCATGTGCCATGCGTAATACACGCATAGGCGATCATGTATCTTTCGATACATGACTGACGAGGCAGACTTTTTCCCGCAGTAGGTTGCCATCTCTTTTTTGCGGTAGACCAGTTGACATCCAAAGCTATAGAACCCTGTCTGTTTTGCTATTTACCCACAGATGGTGGGGGGGGGGAGAAGAATAGGATCCATACTATTCCCAAGGATCAGTTAGTTATGTGCCAATCGTGATACACGCTTAGGTGATCATCTATCTTTCGATACATGACAGACGAGGCAGATTTTTTTCCCTCAGTAGGTTGCCATTTCTTTTTGTGGTAGACCAGTTGCCATCCAAGGCTATAGAACCCGGTCTGTCCTTCTATTTATCCATAGCTGATGGTGGGGAGAAGAAAAAGAAACTGCCACAGATCCTAAATAAGAACATGTACTATTTTGCACTGAATAAATATAGACAGATGACTTAATGTTAGACCGAGGTGCCGCATATGCATGGTCTCCACAAGATTCACAAAACTGTTTTATTCACATTCCGTATATCACAAGCCGTCGATACAGTGTAAGGAAAGGGATTGTTCGATGCCTACCCCACCGGGTAAAAACCGTAAGTTACGACCCAGACACATACCAACAAGAAATGATCGAGCGTGTACCGTTCGGAATCATAACTACCACGCGAACATATCATCATCATCTTCAGGTGGGAACGGAAGAGTCGAGGAAGAAAACCAGAAAACTGCCACGGTCGTCTACCTGACGCCAGTTGCTTATCGGAAAAGATTCTGAAGATCTGTTGTCCATACAACATCAGGACAAATATTCAGAAGCAGCTGCACTCTACTGAGAAATCTCAGCCGAATAAAGCATAACACGTGGAGAAGATGACCAAGAACTACATGTACCCCATTCCTTGCAGTTGTGGCAAACACTACAAAGGTGAAACAAGCCGTGCCACCTGAAAGTAAGGCTAGAGGAATATCGAAAATCCGTAACGAGGGGGACATATAATAAAATCAGGTATAGCTGATCATGTATGGCGAGAAAAGAGAAGTTCTTTAAGAAAACAGGCGAACCATCTTATCGGCCTTATAAAACCTTCTACCTCTTTTGACAAATTAGTAGAAGCTCTAATTAACTCTGTATTGGTTAAGTATCTCAACTTGCAGGGTCTTCTTTTAGATAAGCAATATGGCTTTCACCTCTCTAGGTCAACTGCTGATGTATTAACGATTATTGCTAAAAGAATCTATGAAGAATAGTGGAGCTAGGGTTGTTGCATTGATATCTCGAAGGTATTTGACAGGGTTTGGCATACTGGTTTTCACAAGTTGAAAGTTTATGGCATTTCTGGACGGATTTTTGAGCTGATTCAAATCGCATAAATGAAAGTTGTCTTGAATGGCCAATCTTCTATATCTTTTTTGCATTAATACAGATGTCCCGCAGGGCTCTATCCCTGGACCTCCCTTGTTCCTTATTTTCATCAACGACCTTCCTGGTGGCATTAGTTCTCAGCTTGGTATCTATGCTGCTGACACAACTATTTACTCTTGTCTTAATAGTAAGTCTGATCTGTCGATAAGATCAAATTGGCAGCTGATCTAAAAAAAAATACCAACAATCTGTTGTTAACTGTGACAAGGAAAGACTTCTTAATTTTAACGCCTCGAAAACGAAACCGCTCTTTTACTCGCCAAAGAGGATCCTTTTTACCTTCCATCAACATGGTTGATGCTAACCCCCAGGAAGGTAACTCATTGCACCTTCTCAGATTAACCTTTTTTCGCTGACATGGAGTAGAAAAATTATATTGAATCAATTGCTAGGCCTGCAGCTAGGAAAGTTGGTTCACTGTATCGTGCTACACAATTTTTCTCGTCACCCGAATCTATCTGACATATTTAAATGTCTACATTCGTCTTTGCTTTGAAAATTGTTGCCACATCTGGTGTGGTGCTTTTGCTATATATTTACAGATTCTTGATGAAATCGAAAGAATAATCTGCGATGTTAGTGGTCACGACTTCGCATCTCCGCTTCAGTTACTTTCAAAGCGCCGTAACGTAGCTTCATTGTGTTTTCTTTATATATACTTTCATGGTAATTCTTCTAATGAACTTTCCTCTATGGTACCTAGACTTTATGTATTTAAGCGCAGTACTAGCTTGGCGGCAAGGTCTCATCATTTTACAGTTGTAAGCGTAGTTTTGTCCTAACAGTTTCTTTCATCGCATTTCTCGTTTATGGAACTCTCTTCTGGCTTCTTGCTTTCTATTCAAATATGATCATTAAAAATTTAAATCCAATGTTAATCGTTACCGTCTGTCATCTTAATTCATATTCTTTTATTGTTCTCTCTCCTTAATAGTATTTTTCTATTCTCTAACACTCAGTAACCCCTTACGTCATAGTGGCTCTATTGTTTTGCTTGGGGTTAAATGATTAAAGGCATTGGTTGAGTGATAGAAAAAGTGACTTCAACCAAAGAATTGTGAGTTCATTATATGTCAGAGGGGACAAAAACTTGGAGAGTTAATTTACTAAAGGGAATTAACTGAAACTGAAATTTCCGAAAAAGGCATGGTACGTGGAATTAGAACAAGCTACTTTGTGGACTAAATAAAGGGTTTGGTTGGAAATTTCAACGTATAACACCTGAAGAAGGCCGAAACGTAAAACGTTCGTAACGTCGTGAATATGGCAATTAAAATGAGGGCAACAGCAGTATCAATGTGAGACTTGAACCCAGGACAGGAATATGTGGTCATATATCACCTACCGTAATATTTTGTCACTTACTGTTTGTCTGTCAACAACTGTACAAGCTACTTGCTACTTCAACGTCTGCGTAAGAAAATGAGGCCTCTCGCAAAATAGTTATTTTTCACTGCTTTTTAAGTAAAAAAGTAACTAATTTTGCTTTAATATTGTTCACAATCCATCAAATTAACAGTTTCTGTTTTAACGAGACGCAGATATTTTTATAGTAGTAAGAATGGTAAGTAAGAATGCGTTTTTTTTTGGTATAGGGAATGTTGTAGTATATTTGGGTCAGCTAAGTTAGATTATAAGACAGAAGAGTAACCTTTTTCTTCATTCACCATTTACACAATTACATATTTTTTATACAATTAAATATTGCTCTTCGTTATAATACCAATGCAGTTTTTAATTTAGGCCCAACACAAGAATGGCGTCGAGATCTCATCAATTTTACAGTTGAACTGGTTAGATGTAGCCGTAAGTTCTATGCAAATAGTTTCTTCTTTGACACTTCTCCCTTGTGGAACTCTATTTAAATGCAATCGTTATGTACTACCTTACTGATTACTGTTTTCTTTTTTCGCTCGTTGTCAATGTTTCTGTTCCGAATTCTTTCAAAAACCTGTAACCACTTGTGTCTAATGAATTTATTGCCTTGCATAGGGTGATAGTCAGTTATGTGCAATGCTTGATAGACGCGTAGGCGATCATGTATCTTTCGATACATGACTGACGAGGCAGATTTTTATCCGTAGGTTGCCATTTCTTTCTGCGGTAGAGCAGTTACCATCCAAGGCTATAGGACCCAGTCTGTTCTGCTATTTACCCATAGCTGGGGGAGGGGGCGGGGGAGGATTAAAAGAGGATTCATACCTTTCCCAAGAGTATTAGCACGTAAGTGAATGTAATGGAGTCGACTGGAATTCGAACTCGGCTCTCCAATTCCTCGATCCGATCCGCTATCCATTACTCCACCACTACTCCACCAAAAGAAGAAGAAAAAAAACTCACCGGCGGTTGTTTTCTTGAGCAATTTGCGTATCTATCTATCTATCTATATCTGTTTTACTCTTCTTTGTTAAATATATTTTACTAACCTATGAAGAAGCAAGCATAATAAGAAATTAAGATATATCAAAAAGTTAACGTTCCATTCTACCAACAAGAACCGCGTTTCAGAGGCATAAAAGCCCAACGTAATTCATTTAATCCGTCTGAGGTTTGCATATTTTTTAATTATTCAAATAGACTGATCAAAATGTTATCGATTTTGTGAAGCTTTACATCTTTGACTGGGGTTCAAATAAACAGCCGGCCATTTTTTTTTCGACCGGCATTAATGAAATACCTAAAGGTTCAAGTTTCTCTAAGTATTCGAATTGATTGACCACAAGGCACCCACAAGTTTCTAGTTTCGATCGACGGCAACGGTATACCCCCATTGCCATCCTAGAAAGAGGATCAGTGTCCAAGATTTACGCACAACGACAGTTTTGTTGCCCTTGGGAGGTGATTAGTGACTATTCACTGATGGGTAAACTGAAAATGAGACCCTCTTGGCTATTCAAGCGAGCGGCCCTTCCTATATTGCACGTGGCGGTCCTCTTTTCTTTCCGTTTCTGACCCCATTGTGTGTCTTTTTTCTTCTTGGTGGGAGTTGAAGGAGCGCCTTAAACAAACACACAGTTTATGCCCAACATCCGTCGTCGCTAATCAACAAAAAAAAAAAAAAAAAATTAGGATTTAAAAATTGGCTTTGCGCCTGACTGGTTTTACGCTTGTCGCTAAAGTTGTCAGGTGACAGTTTTATGGGATGTCCCCAAAGTTACTATATATATATATATATATATATATATATATATATATATATATAGAGAGAGAGAGAGAGAGAGATAGATAGATAGATAGATAGATAGATAGATAGAAGTAAGAGAGATTGTCAGAGCTTGAGAGAGGGTGTGAGAAAAAGATTGTCAAAGTTTGGGAAACTTTCAGAGAATAGAGAAGAGCAGAGAGAGAGAGAGAGGGGGGGGAGAGAGGGGGATGGATGGAAGGAGAGAGAGATATAGAAGTAAGTTTGGTAAAAAACAATATTCCCTGAGCACCCTTAATATCTTCTTACAAAAGTTTTTCTTTCTCTCTGTCTCTGTCTCTGTCTCTCTCTCTCTCTCTCTCTCACACACACACACATTGTTTTCCCCGAACAGTTCCTTGCACTTATTAAGTAGAAATAATTTAATTTTTGTTCACATTAACCGGCAGTTTCAGTTTCATCCATTACATGCCCCTTAATTATTCTTTCTGTGCAAAATGCCTTTTGTCGTCTTTTAGGAAACTTATTTTTTTGTGATAACTAAATAAATGCTGGCCCGGATTTCTTGTGTATTCGGGAATGATATCAAAATAGTCAAGAACCTATACTGGCAGCAAACAGTATGGATGCGCATAGGGAACAAGTTCAGTGAATATACAAAAACAGAAGGGCGGAAGGCAAGGATGCCTCTTCTCACCAGACCTGTTCAACCTATAACAGCGAGGCAATTCTGAGAGAATTGGAAACCCTACCGGGATTTAGCATCGGCGGCTACAATCTTAACAACATAAAATACGCAGATGACACAGTACTGATAGCAGCCACGGAAAAGAAATTACAAAATCTCCTACAGAAGGTAGCGACGGAGAGTGAGAAGAAGGGACTAAGCATAAACTACAAGAAGACAGAATGCATGGTCATCAGTAAAAGGATGAGACCGAAATTCGATTTTCAGGTCCGGAACACTAGAATCAAGCAAACGTGGATGTTTAATTATCTGGGAAGCGTCTTGACGGAGGACGGTAAGTGCGACACTGAAATTCCTAGTCGTATTGGGATGGCCAAGGACACATTCCAAAAGCTGGGCAGAGTATTGCGAGACAGGAGGATTTCTTTGGTAACAAAGAAAAGAATACTAAGCTGTTACATGACATCTGTTCTCCTTTACGGCAGCGAATGTTGGACAATTTCCTCAAAGATGAAGAGACTCGAGGCGACGGAGATGAGGTTCTACAGAAGGATGCTGAGGATATCATGAACCGAACGTGTGAGCAACGACGAGGTCTTAGAGAGGATGCAATCAAGGAGAAGGCTTATACTTAACATCGGAAAGAGGCAGCTGAAGTTTCTGGGTTCACATAATGAGAAATGATGGCCTGGAGAATCTGATAATCACGGGTCGAATAGAAGGAACGAGAGACAAAGGAAAGCAACGAATGACATACCTCAATTAAGCTGAAAAATCGAATCATCCTTGATAATGGTTAAAGGTATAGCCGAAAGCGCTCGGAAATCTAAAACATTTCAACAGTTCTTACACACCCTTTGTCCAGAAAAGAAAGCTCTTGTTAGAACACAAGAAAAATTAAATAAAATGCTTAACCGTGGTACCTTGTCTGTCGTTTTTGAAACATGCATATATATATATATATATATATATATATATATATATATATATATATATATATATATATATATATATATATATATATATATGCCAGTAGACATAACCACACGCAAACGGCTGTATATGTTTTTTTTTGTGTGTGTGTGATGGGCTGCGGGAGTTGCCAATTTGTTTGTTCTTTTATTCTACTTTCACAATGGCGCTGACTGTTCGCCCCCGACATCCTTAAAATCACAATTTTTGTCGCCTCTAAAATCAGACACCGATCTGAACATGTGGACTGTCACAACCATTTGTGTTTTATTTACTTACCTTCCTGTTTATTTATGTTTTACTTACTGCGACTTATTTACGTCGACTTTTTTTTTTCTTCTCTGTGCAGAGTGATGGTGGGGGTTGGGGTGGCGGGGTAACGGTTGGATCTTCCCAAATATCGGTGACAAGGCAAATATCAGCGAACAAAAAAAAAGGATCCATGTTAACTGAGCAGTAACAGAAAAAAATAGATTTATTTTTACGGGAGTGCGTAAGGGGAAGTATTCCTGTGTCGTAGAAAGAGAAATGCTATAGCAACGGCAGGCACACGCATGCGCATTAAATATATATATATATATATATATATATATATATATATATATATATATATATATATATATATATAGTTGTCCAGCACTTATAACAACATTATAAAAATGACTGATTACTTCTTGAATTCCGTTTCATGTTGAGAAGATTATAGTGTACACGTAAAAAAAAATGCAGATAAACTTTTCAAGTGTTTTATTCAATAATTAATCGTCAAATGATTTCAATTTCAGAATTTAAGCTCATTTCTCAGTGTCAAATAATTATAAAAACCAGGCACCTCCACAGATTCGCAATAGGGTTTAAAATGAATTTTTAAAAAAATTAAAAGTCTTCCTTTAGGCTTTTATTTTGGCGTTAATTTCAAGTTAATAGATTAAAAATTTAATATTTCCAATAAACAAAATACATTGATCTATTTTAAAACTAATTTAAATTGACTGAAAGGAGATTTTTACTTTTTGGTTAAAAAACTGATTTCATTGCTATTTTTAGCCATTGTTGATAGCATTGTAATTCTCTTTATTAAAAAATCTTCCAAGAATAAAATAAAATTTTCAGACACTTTATTTGTAGAATATGAGCTTATTTAAAGTTTAATTAATATGATTTGAAACATTAATTATTTTAAGTTTAAAATATTGCATAAATACATTTTTTTAAGATGGAGGTAGCTGTTTATTTAAGCTGATGACATAATGTTTTCTACGGTGGATGTAACTGTAAAAATAACTGAAGAATATAACGTGACCGCCTTCTTATATAATTTTTTAAGTACTCAGTAATCTTAAAAATTTAGGAAAAGTACATCTAAGGCTTTATTGAATTTAGATACATTGGTTTTAAATTTACTATAGTTATCGCTCCTATTTTCTGATAATGTCGTGTATGAACATTCGTAACTGTAAAAATCGGCACGTTTATACACATACAAAAAAAAATTAAAAATTCTTTTTAAAATACTAGAGGCCCTTAAATTGTAATAAACTTTTCGATTTATGATTAGTAAATATAGTTTGTACTTAATAAGAATATCACCATTGAAATAAAATTTTAAAAGATTTATAAATTATTCTAATTAAAATACAATTACTGTAAAAATCCATTATTCCTCGAAAGACTTTTTTCTTAAAACAATAGTGTCCTTAATATATTTTATTCATAAAAGCAATTAAAAGCTTTTCTAATTAAATGATTTCTTAGTTGTATTGCATTTTCTATTTTACCATTCAGAGTAGATTTTCGGTAAGTGGAAATTCTGTCTCACAAAACAGTAAAAAAAATTTAAATTCTCTAAGAAGTTCTGTGTATAACTAATATAAACATTAAAAGTTATACCATTGAATTTCTCGAGTTTCCATAAAATTAGATAAGTAGGGTGTAACATGTGTCGGAGTTAACTCCTCCTTCACTCCGTTAACCCTTTCACCAGGGGTCGCTCTTCGCTGCTATAAATAGCCGCGGACCCTTCGCCTCTATCTCTTTTTTCCCGTCAGGCCTGCGCGCCGACACCTTGAGGGAAATCTCTTTTTCCTTCAGGATTTCAGCTATCAACCTCGAAATGTAGGCGCTAACAAAGGTATAGCGTGGAAACACGCTAAGCACAATACACACACACGCACGCACATACAGAATATTCCCACACGCACATACAGAATATTCACACACACTTCGTCCTTTGTACTGTTTCCATGTATTGTAACTTGTTATTAATATATATTTGTATATGCATATATTATCGGTCTTGTGTTTTGTTTGCTATCTTTGCCTTCTTCTTTGGACTTAATCAAAGTCCAACCTTTTTATGTAGTTGGGCTCGGCGGGCAGGAGTATCTGAACCTTACTTGCGTTTCTTCTACGTCTGACTTCTATCAACAACATAACAGCCACGGCCCCTCTACACATGTAAAAAAGAAAAAGAAAAAAAGAATTACCAAGATTTTCTAAATAAAACATTTCTAAAATAATTTAATTCCTTTGAAAATAAGTCCTAAACGTTTCATTAAGGTCCGACAATTATTTCATTTTTATGTGAAC